GTCACATGTCTTTCTCTTTGTTGATTTTGTTTTGTATCCTTTTTCTATAATAAATCATGGCATGAGTAGAACTATACAGACTGTCCCTGACTTACAGTGGTTTAACTTACAATGTTTTGACTTTATGATGGGTCTACCAAGATCCTGGATGCATTTCAACCTAAGATAGTTAAAAATTATTCAGAAGGGTTTATTGGGATGTAACTGCATCACAAGTCAAGGAGCATCTATCTATCTATCTATCTATCTATCTATCTATCTATCTATCTATCTATACATACACATATACAATGTTGAGTCCTCCTAGAAAATTATCAAACCTAGGGGTGCTCTTGGGGAGCCCAGTACATGCTACTTTTCTCTCTGAAAAGAGAAGAAAAAAAATTGCATTTTCCACAAGTGGCTGCAACCTGTGCTCCTATTCACAATGTGATTTTCACATTCTTTCTATTGAGAGGCAGAGCCTAAGTTACCTCCTTTAGAATGTGGGTGAACTGTGACTATGGTGAAATTGATGCTGTGTCACTTTTGAGGCTAGATGATAACAAGCAATACACCTTCCTCTTGTTTTATTTTGGGAGTTGCTCATTCTCCGAACCCAGTTACCATGCTGTGAGGGAGTCAAGCAAGCACATGGATCGGACTTGTGCAATTGTTCCAGCCAACAACCCCAGCTGCAATCCCAGCAGGCAGCCAGCATCAACAACCAGTTGGAACAAGTGGTGTTTCCAGCCCCTAATTCTTAACTCATTCCCAACTTTCAAGTTCTCCCAGCTGAGGCCCTGGTCATTGGAGCAGAGAGATGCTGCCTTTGCTGTACCCTCTCCAAACTCCTGACCCAAAGAATCTAGAGGCATAATGAAACGGCGATTGTTTTACTCTTCTGTGTGCAGGGTGGTTCGATATGCAGCAATAGTAATGACAGCTTTCCCTAAGATGGCATCCGGATATATGGAGAGAAGAATGTGACTTAGCATCCTGATGCTCGAGAGTAGGGTTTTACAAGTGGTGTTCCCTGCCTTTTCTAATCCCTGGGACGATATATCCCTAGTCTACCTGGTTGATCTTTTCCTTGCTGGCCTTAGTGTTTAAACTATGTGGATGCTATAACTAGCAGTCTTTTTCTCTTTATTTCTGGGCTTGGTTGGAGCCCAGAAGGCATGTCTGAGATGGCTCCACCTCGTTTCCAATCCTATACATACTGTAGACCCCACAGATGCCTTCTGTGACCCTTATCCAGTCCCAGCTTGAGTGTGCAGCTTGCAGCCTCTATTAGTATCCTTCTCTACAGACTAGCAACTACTTCAGGATCTGGTCTATGCCACAGGATACTTGTCTATGGCTCAGGATGAATGAATCTTAGAAACTCCTTCTGCCTGACCATGCCAGCCAAAGGCAGTCTGAGAGCTGATCTGTTTTCAAGAGTTGCAACAGAAATGGGGAGCAGGAGGCACCTATGTCTTGTTGCCATCATTCTCATTTACCTAATAGACTTCTCTCTGTCCAGATCAAAGGGAGTTTGCCTAATTAAAGCCCAGAGATGGGAAAATCCTGAGACACAATTGCTCTTTCTGCTTTCCATTCCCTTTATTTTTTCCTTCCCATAACTCCTCCAAATAGACAGATTCTTCCCTATCTTCTTTCTCTTCATTTCAACTTTTCTCTAAACCTTCATGGCAGAGGGTATTTTCTCTATACACTTGGAGAACTCTATAATCTGGGGGCCTTCCAAGTTTGATCATTGATATTCTAAAGATCTCAAAACTGTGAGTTGGATTACAAGGTGATTGTTTTGCTGAAAAATCCTACTTTGTATGCTAGCAGCTGATCTTACTTTGGCCGGCATTTTTCTAAACAAAGTACAAATGGGTAGTTACATACACAAAGGGGAAAGCACTAATTATTTTTCAATTATTCTTCTTTGTTGGTTTGTGCCAAACTACTTGCTTGTCTAGGATTCCCACCATCTCAATTTTGCCTTGTTTCTTAGCTGCAGTCTTTATTGAAGTCCTTTAAGGTTGTTCTTGGTGTACTTGCTTTTTGCTATTCCATTTCATGCCTTTGAAAAACATACTTGCTCTGCTCTTATAATAATTATATACTCCAGGTTTCTCATAAGTTGTTCTGATTTTTTGATACCTGCTTTGTTCATCTCTTTCATATTGGCATCTTTCTGATTCCTGGTAGTATGCTTAGTCACAAATTTACTATTAGCCTTCACTCTTCTAAAAATATGCCCTGCTCCATTGGTTTTGACCCATTTTCTTGCTCTGATTCCTAGTACCTCAGTTCCAATATTGAAGATTATTCAGGTATACATTAGTTAGGATGCTTTTAGTAAAACACGCAAAATGCAACTCACACTGGGTCAAACTATAAAAGAAGTTTATTGGCTCACATATTTTGAGAAATCAGGCTTCAGGAAAGGATTGATATGGCAGTGCCATCATGTTTCTTACTGACTCCCAAATCTGCCTTTGATGGTGTTGGTTTCATGCTGGACAACTTGCAGGAGAACTTCAAACAGCAATATGAGACAGATCCCTCTTCATTTATTCCCAATGGTGGAAAAGAGCTTCTTTTAAAATTTAAACCATTGAACAGAAGTTCTGGGCTTTAATCTGTTTGGATTACTTCAAATCAACATGCCTAACACTGAACCCATTCCTGTCACTGAGAGTGAAGTGAGACTATCCTGATTGTCTTAAGTTAGTTTGATACTGCCCCTAGACTTGGGACTGGGTTCAATCCTACTCACACTGCATGCCTGCTACACACTGGAGAAATGAGAGAATTGGGTTCAGAGGTGAGATGAAGCCAGCTTGTGTGAGCTGATTATGTTTATGTTTTCCTCAGTATTCACTGATGTCACTCTGGCAACTTAAAGTTAGCCATAGTGGGAGTATTTACACCATAGAAATTGGCAAATGTTATGAAATATTTTTAAGCTGATTTACCAGTACAGCACTGATCATGGGAGGCACCCAATGTAATGTATGTTAACAGGCAATGGTCTCTTAGCTAGTTTTTCTAATTTTAGAATTGCTCCTTTCAATACATTCATTCTTTTTAAGATAACAGCTTTATTGAGATACAATACCATATCCCATAAAAGTTACCCTTTTAAAGTGTACAATTCCGTGATTTTTTTAGTATAGGTACAGGGTTGTACAATCATCACCACAATCAATTTCAGAACATTTTCATCACCTCAAATTAAACCCCAACCTGTTAACAGTCACTCCCCATACCTTGGCAATCACCAATCTACTTTTCTGTCTCTGTGGCTTGCTCTGGGCATTTTAAACCAGAAGTCATATAGTATGTGGTAGTTTGGTTTAGCTTCTTTCACTGAGAATAATATTTTTCTAGGCTTATTCATATTGTGGCATGTATCAGTATTTTATTCCTTTTGTTGCCACACAATATTTCATTGTACATATAGAACACATTGTCTTATCCATTTAATAGATGGCATGTGAGTTACTGAGATCCAATTCTAATTACAATTCCAGAATCCATTCCTTTCTACCTCTTATCTTTGGTACTTCTGCTGCCAGAATCATTTTCCTAGAAGGCCACATTTCATCTTGTCACTCAGTTCATAAAAATAAATCTTTCTCTCTGACTAAGAAATGCTAAAGGGGCACATTGACTAAGCATTCAAAACTCTTTAATTTGACTGCAGTGAGAGTAGGAATAAGATCCTATCTCCTTCTGAGAGGACAGTTTGGGCCAATGATGCTCAAATCTCACTTAAAGAACCTCTATCTGACTGACTGACCAAGCAACCAACCCTAAAGCCCAAGTAAACAGCCCTCAGTGACAAAAGGAAAAGTCCAAACCGTATAGAACAGTGATATGGCTATTATGTAGCTTTATGATTTTATAGTTTATACTTCTTTTCATTTCTTAATTATTAAAATTATGTGAGGGTCCTGGAGAAACAGTAGACAGACAGACCTAGTTTGTAGTCCTGGCTTAGTCACTTATTATTGACTTTCTTTAAATTCTCTCCTTCTGAGATTTTAAGCAAATCGTTATTTTTTTTCCCTTTTTTTACATGTAAAGTGGGAGCAATAATCCATACCTCAGGAGCCCAGCTGTGGATTAAAAGATATAAACACCCAAATACTATGCCCAATTCACAATAGGCACTCTAGAAATAAATGGACACCATTATGGATGAACATATGGTTAAAAATTTCAATTATTTTCAACAAAACCAATCTAAGATTAGTACTATTTTGGTGTTCATTCATTGTTTTATAGCTTTAGTGACTTAATTTCAATATTTTCCTAGTGCTTTAAAATTAGAACCAATTTAAAGCAGAAATTAGATAATCAGCTAAAAGTCTTTATGTTTCCAGTCTGCTATCACCCCTGGTATAATCTGAAAGGATCAATATTTCCTTTGGGAAATAATTAATGGTAATATCTTGTTTTATTACAATAAAGCTTTTATGAAGTGGCCTAAGGATACACATCTTAAACACTATACTGGATTATGTTAAGGTAAATTTCTCATAGGACTGAATCTTAGATTTGACATTTACCATTATCAAGGAAAATATGACTTGGTAGCAGTTATTGAAGATATAATCCAATATGTTATTCTTTGAAGTGGTTGTAACATTTTTTAAAAAGGTTTTGAATTGTAGTTTAATTGTAATTGTTTTGGTCTTATTTAGATGATAATAAAATTCAAATTTTTCTTTATGCTATTTATTTATGGGTTAGAAAAATTTTACATGTATTATAACTTTTTCGTTTTATAAATGAAGTGACCATGAACTAGATTCTTCTTTCAGAATTAGAAGTACTTATGAATGCAATAGCATTCTTTTCGTTGAAGCATTTATAATTTGAGAGACCACATTAATCAATTTTTAAAGATCAATCTTTTGTTAGGAGAATAAAATAATAAAGATCAACTTTTAGAGCTCACCCTTTTTTATAAATTTTAGTCATTCATTGTTATTTCTCTTTTTCCCCCATAGGGTTATCCCTGTCAAGACGATTATTCCATAGTCCACAGGAAATGCCGTTCACAGTTCACAGATCTAAATGGAGCCAAAAGATTTGGCATCAACACTTGGCATGATGAGAGTGGGATTTATGCTAATTCAGATGTAAAACAAAAACTCTACCCATTGACGTATGGTCCTATTGTCCCCTTTTTAAAATAATATATGGAATCAAATTCTCTGACAAATGAAAGAGTAATGGATGCAGCAGTTGATGGTTTTCTATCTTAACAAATGCAATAGAAGTGTTACTAGAGTAGTTTCCTTTACATACAAAAAGCTTATCTTTCAGACAAATATTTATATCCTTACTTTCATAAGCTGCTCTGGTTTAGTATGTATACCACTTAAGGTATACTGCACAGTTAATTTTAGATTGGCAGAGCTTTATTTTATTTTATTTCTGTGCATTTCTTTTAAGAATTGTTTTTAAAATGCATAAAACTAGCACAATCAAGCTTATGCTAGCTTAGGGTGTGGCAGATTATTAAAAAATGAGTCAACTTAAAACCCTTTTAAAGACAAATTTTTTCTCTTTTAATTTTTTTATTTTAAAGATGTGGGGTACAATTCAGGGTTAGGTATACAAATGATCACTATGCAGTACTCTTGTTGATGAGATGTGCCCCCCCTCCCCTGGCAGATTCTCACTACTGCCAATCCTTTTCTTATAGTTCTATGATAATTGTTTAAGGTCTGCTTATGAATGAGAACATGTGATACTCAGTTCTTTGTTTCTGTGATACATCACTCAGTATTATAGACTCTAAGTCCATCCAGGTTGCTGTGAAGTTCATGATTTTTATCCTTCTTTATGACTGTGTAATATTCCATCATTTATATGTACTGCATTTTTTTATCCAGTCCTCTTTTGACGGGCAACATGGTTGGTTCCATGTTCTTATTACTGTGAACGATGCTGTGATAAACATGCATGTGCAGGTACCTTTTTTATAGAGTGATTTGAGTTCTTCTGGATATATTCCCAGTAGTGGGATTGCAGGGTCATATGGAAAGTCAATTTTTAGATCTTTTGGGAGTCACCACACTGTTTTCCACAGAGGCTGTACTAGTTTACACTCCCACCAACAGTGTAGAAGTGTTCCCTTTTCACCGCATCCTCTCCAGCTTCTGTTGCTTTTTGAGTTATTAATAATGGCCATCCTGAGTGGAGTTAGGTAGTATCTCAGTGTAGTTTTAATTTGTATTTCTTTGATGACTAGAGAAGCTGAGCATTTTTTTCATGTATCTGTTGGCTGCTTGTATGTATTCTTTTGAGAAGTGTCTATTCATATCTTTTGCCCACTTTGTAATGGGGCTGTTTTTTTCCCCTTTTGGCAGGTTTGAATCCCATGTAGATCCTAGATGTTAGGCCTTTGTCAGTCATACAGTTGGCAAATATTTTTTCCCAGTAAGACAAATTTTAAGTGAATTAAAATATAAAGGGTACTCAGATTTGACATAAAACTTAATTGGCCAAAGTTTGAACAACACTGGTTCTATATTAATGTTGAGTATGTGTGTTTTTTTTTTTCTTTTTGGAAAGTATGTCTACTTATAGATTCTGATTTATCTGTGGTAACTGGTTGCACAGTGGATTATGTATTCAGCATGACTTTTTTCCTTATTTAAGAAAAGACCTCTTGCATATATGGGATAGCAGAGTTGCACACAGAATCTTCATGAAATTTTAGGGGTTTGATTGGAAATCCAGCTACCCAGTACTAGATTTGGAAGAATTCTTAGCAATTTTTTTGATTCACTTTCCCATTTTACAGATGAGCAAGCAAATGTTTTAAGTAGGTTGCTATATTAGTAATCTGGGGTTGCCATAACAAAATACTATAGATTGGGTGGCTTTAACAACAGAAATGTACATATGCAAGTATATACAGTCTATATGAGGTCAATTATTTATATATTGTCTATTCTAGTGGATACCTACCTAGGATTACTTTTCTTTCCACAGACTACAGATTCAAGTTTAATGATTCCTAACATTCATTAGTATATCTGTGATGAACAGCTACTTGAAATATGCAAATTTGGAAGTCAAGCTACTAATTTGATCATTTCTTGTCATGGGAAACAACTTTTAATGGCCACATAATTACCTTTGAACACTACCTGATACCTAGAAAATAAACTAAAATGTACCTACTTGAGCAGAAATTCTATGCTGTCACAGTGACTAATATCACATTTTGTGTAAATGACTGAGTCTGTCATAAGAGATCACCTTAGAAATCAGTGCTGGTTTGGATTAGAAAAAGAATTAAATAAGAGAGATTCTATTTAAACTAGTTAAGTAAAATGCGCTGAAATAAAGATTACATCAGGGGTTTGCTCCATGCCAAGTATTCAGCTGCCCTCAGTAAGTGAACGTGTGAGTGTCAGACTCGGTGAACTCTACAAGATAACTCTGAAAACTAGATCTTTTAGGAAAAAGTATTTTGTATGGAGGTAACTGCTTCAGTGGTTCATCTCACCAGTATCAAAGACAATTTCAACAAGACAAATTAGAATTCACATTTCATCATTAGAGAATATCTTCTATGGGAAGTGACCACACTGTCTCCTCATGGTCCCCATGTATACTTCACAGAACTCCACTTGAGACCCCAAATAACCCTATCCCTTATGTGTTTTTAAAGTTGGTGATATCAGTATCTATATCTCATTCAAATTTGCTCAGTACTTTTGTCCCTTGTGCATTGTTGTGTCAGAACTGTTGGTGTGAGCCTACCATGGTAGAGTGTAGACTGCTAGGAGAATGAGAGAGGGTATTGGACAGATCTTAAGTGGATGTATCACAATGGTGGGAATGACATTCAAATTCAATATGTCCATGATATATATATTTACAGCCCCATGAATGAGCAAGAATTAACTACAGAAATACTCTATACAGCTGCAGTTAAAGAAAAATAATTGTGGGCACCGATCCCTATCTTCCAAGCAAAACTATAATTTTAAAAATTAATATTCTATTTATGACAGCTTAATCTATATTAACAATACCTAGATCTTAGAAAATATAGAAGCTGACCCAGTGCAATTTGTAACAAGAGAAAGCAAGTCATCTACAGTGTTGGTATACGGCAGTGCAAGGAAGAGATGTATTTCTAGCAAAACAGTTATAATCATTCAGCTCTGAGGATTCTAGAGAAAAAGTGGGTTTTTCTATTCCTCTCAGTTTGTAATACAAATGAGCACTCTGGTTCAAAGTTAAATATGAAATCTTAAAATTATTGTCTATCCACGAATTTCATTTTCTAAATCTGTATCCTTCTAGAACACTTTCTAGAGAGCATCCAGGGCACCAGCCAGAGGAAAATAGATGACTTCTATTGGAAGAGAAGCTTCATTATGGTCTCACAAATAAGAGGAATGGGCCCTGGCTGCTTCACATGTGGGCTTAAGTGATTCCTTCTGGACCAGGCCCCATCACTCATCCACTCCCGCCCCTCAGTCCTGCTGCTCCTCCTCTAGGTCTCCCTATCACATTCTCAAGGAGGCGACTGCACTTTTTCATCTGCACCTACTCCTTTCCCTCTGGTTTCTGTGTTCTTCTGTGCTCACTGTTTCCCTGTTGCCCTTATGGTCCACATGCCACAGTCCTTGTCCTCTTCTGGGCCCTGAACAGGTCGTGCTTTAGAGGTGGTTCAGTAGACTCCATTGCCCCCAACTTAAGAGTTGCCAGGTTTAGCAAATCAAAATACAGAACACCTGATTAAACGGAAATTTCAGATAAATGGATAATTTTTTTGGTGTAAGACGTCCCATGCCATATGTATGAGAAGGGACCCAAAGAAAACTGGAATTTGTTTATCAAAATTGTGTATTTATTCCTGCATGTTTAGACTTCAGTCACCTTCAAAGTATTCTGTTTGATGCAATACACCTATCGAGATGCTTTTTCACTGCTCAAAATGGCTTTTGAACTTGTACATTTTGGTGGCTTTTAGCACCTCTGCTGTTTTTTGGTTTTACCTCTTCCATATGGGCAAAACATTCCCCTCCCTTTGAGGACTTTTTTCATCCTGGGAAACAAACAAACGAAAAAGACCCTTGGGGCGAGATGGGGTGAATAGGGAGGGTGGGGCACAGGGGTCATGCTGTTGTCAGTCAAAAACTGCTGATGACTCAGCACGGTGTGGGCAGGCGTGCCCATAAATCACCCATCATGAAATGAGCAAACACGTTGAAAAAAATCTCCAAGAAAAAAATTCACTGAATCTGCACGCAGTCTCTCACAACAATGGCTGGCACACTGATGCTGATGGATTCCTAAACACTTCCCTAATGAGGTAAGCCTGTATTACAAGGGGCCTGTCCTCCAAAAAATAATTCAGAGGTGGTTCAGTAGACTCCATTGTTGGGAGGTCCCTCATTGCCATATGCATATTTGTACTTTTCTGAAATTGAAATTCTAATGTCACTGGGTATCTTGTATTTTACCAGGCAATCCTACTCTGGCTTTTCTTAGGATTAGCCAAAGGGAGCACCACCAGGTGATACAGGAGGGAGAGTGCAGGCTGAGTACTTCCCTGCCATGTTCCCTCTTGGCTTGGTTGACACAGGCTGGTTGCATCCCCTGAAGGTCAAAGCTCCTGTCAGTCCTTTACATCCTTGGGTACTGTAAGCCTCTTCTTCCCAAGTTCCCTCTGACCCAGGGGAGGTAAATATTTCTCCAACATCCATACTCTCAATTCCTCCTTAATTGTGCCTGCAGGTCCTGCCTTAACCCTTGTCATATCCTTCTTTTTTATATTTGCCGTGCTTTTTTAGTAGTTCCTTTATTTTTTTTCCTCCTCTTAAATTTTATTTTTATAGACTATATTTAAGATACACACATGATTTGATATCTATTACACAGTACAATTATTACTACATGTCAAACTAATTGACATATCCATCACCTTCCATAGCTATACTTTTATTTGCGGTCAGTACACCTAAAATTTATTCTCAACAAATTTTCAGTATACAATACAATATTATTAACTACTGCCCTCATACTAGATAGTAAATCTCTAAATTTATCCATTGTACTCAAGTGCAGATTGTACCCTTATTAGTACAAACTTTGGTTTTAAAAAGGGGTACAAATTTGCAGTAGTGCCTTTCTTAAATGCTTCTCAAATAGCTCATATTGAGTATGCTGTTTCCTTCCTGGACCCCTAAACAGATGACCTCTCAGAGATCTACTCGCAAAGTTGTCCTTTGGTTGTGGGCACCCTTGATTTCTTTTGGCAG